AAACACCTGTTAGACCAAGCAGCCTTCAGTGCCCCAGGGTCGGTACTGTACTTATGTACTACATGTACATTACAATATTGCAGTGGGCCTGGCTTGAGGGGACAAAAGTAAAACAATTTTCTGCCTGTGGTGATGCTCCACCTTAACTCTTTTGGATGGTACTCTCCCTGGCATAAATTTGAGACAAAGTCACTTAATCTGGTGTCCTGGAACCTGCAGGTCCAGACCTGTGTTCTAACTCACTTTGTACATGAAACACCCTAACATTCAGCAGGAAGCAGGCATCTGTTTTCCATGACTGCCAGGAGTTCTGATTTCCCTTTTTAGAGGTTACATAATGCCTCTACCCCTGCATATGCATGTTCAGAGCATATCGTGTGCTTCCCATAGCTAGCTGTGCTCTTCAGTCACACCTCAAGAACATCACCTTTAGACCTGAATTTGAATACATCTGTTTAATTTCTCATTGTTTAAGAAAAGTGGTTCTGATGCAATGAATGAAAATGTGGCATTTTAGCTCCCCCCAGGAAATGATAAGAGGTAAGTCCCTGTAGTGAGGCTGATGGCACATGGAAGTTTATTTTTCACATGTTTGGAAAGACACACAGAAGAAAAGAAATACAAGGGTACCAATGAGCACATAGTTCAGAACATGAAAAAAGAAAGGGAGTGACTTAATGTAGAAGGTAGGTAAGTAAGGTAGTAGGAGAAAGGTGAAGTAAAAAAAAAATAGTGAACGACTCATAACAGAGACAGAAATAAACAGAGAAGAAACAAGATGAAAAGCATAAATACATTTAAGTTGTATTTGAGCAAAACATATAATGTCTAAGAAAGCAATTGGTCTTTCTCATGGCTAGACTGTATTTGTCACTTAGGAAAGGACAGTTATCTGTTGGGATAATTGACTGAGTGGTGATAAAGTACCCATCACTGAAGTAATTCTATGACAGAGAAATCAAAAATCAAGGGAATGCTTTCAGGTATTGGATGATCCCCTCCAGCTCTATTTTCTATGAACTCAGCATCTCAAAGTGTATGAGTGGGAGCAGAACCTCAGTTGTGTGTTTATGGGAAACCTATTTCTGGCCTGGTCACCTCCTTGCTGAAATTCTCTAACATCTCAAAGAGTAAACAAGGCACATATTTGGAGATGAAGTCTACGAGGAAAATGAATACATAGGGGGAAAAAAAGAAAAGGAACTGGTTGATCTGCAGACAACATTTTCTTCTGACCTATGGACCCAATGCCAAAACCCTTACATTATCTTCCTCATACTGAAGAGCCCCATCCTGCAACAAATACATGGTTTGGCTTAGATACAAACCCAAAGCCCTCACAACTTGAGATAAAAGATCTCAGGCTCTTTCTTCCAAGAAAAGAGTTATTAATTGATCCACTGTACTTCAACTCTAAATAATTCTGTTCTCCATTTCAAGGACAATTCCTCCTAATTTCAGCCAAAATCATTCTTCATTTCCTTGCCTAACTTCTCTTGAATGGTGTGTGATGAGAGGACACAGGTATGAAGTGGTCTGGGACTATTCCAGACTGGTGATTATTTCTACGCAAACCACCAGTTACCATTGCACTACAAAAATAAGTGCAAAACAGGCTTTTAAAAGCAAAGTCTGGAGAGACATCACATTGAGGTGAAAGAAGACTTCATTCTCCCATCGTATTGAGTTTCTCAGGGCTTGCCAAGAGGATCTTGCAAAGCCGAGTGCGCTAATGTCAGTGGTCCTCCCTTGAAGGCAGGAGACTTGGATTGCTCCGGTGCATATATACACATACAGCATAGGAAGGCATGGGCCTTGAAAGTGACCGCTCCTTCCCCATGCAAATCTGCCCTGTGTTCTTTTTTTACACTCTGGGCCACCAAGTATGATGCTCGTAACTGGAGGAAACTTTTTTTCCCTGACAGTACTTTGGAGACATTAGATTCATTATTTGAGGGTGTGTGTGGGATTCTGGAAGTACAATTTATGTCTGCTATGCTGTGAGATCTTTGGTATGATATTGACTCACTCATTGGCACCTGAGAGAGGTTTGGGGAATTCAGCAAGCTTTCAACAATCCAGTTTGAGAGATTAAACAGAATTACAGCTCACTCAGGTTTGTCCTAATTTTATTAGATTTTCACCATTTCTAATTGCATAAACATATGCAGCCAAGTATACAGATGGGGACTGGGATGATGTACAAAGACACTCAGGCTCTATAGTCAGCTAATTGGTGGACTAAGTAATAGGGCACTTGGAAAGATTGGTATTTTTTTCAGAACATTTCAGGGTAAAATCCTGTCCCCATTTAAACTGAGGCAATCAAGATAGGAAAGATTTTAGCCATAGATTTTGTTGAAACTGGAGAAAGAGATGAGAGGAGCTATCTGATGCAGAAAATATCCAGGATGAAGGTTGTTGTTTTGGGCAAGATTCACTACTTGTTTGTCTTGGAAATAGGAAAAAGATAGAATGTCTCAAAAGCATAGAACTGGCCTGATCAATATGGTAACATCAGAAGGTTTTTGATCAGGGCTAAATAAATGACAAACAATGGTTAACCATTTCAGATATTACCAGGGCAAAGGAGAAGTCATTTTGTGCGAACATTGTTATTGTTAGCAAATGCCAAACTGTAATGTTGTCAGCAATATTTTATACTTTGTTTTAGAAAATAAATCTGTTTTTGCTATGGATAGGAGATCTCTTGGGCCCCAAGTTAAAGTATGCTATGGCTATTTTTGGTCAAATGGTACCAGCTGAGGTACTGGCATGGCTGTTCATGAGGGTACTTTCACATGAAATAAGATTGCTGTCCATATTTGTTAAGAGAATGGTGCCGTTGACTTATTTTCTACAATCAAGACAAAAAGAGGGGTGGGAGGGAAAAGTCTACACTCAGGTTTTTGCTCTTGGATATCCTTTATCTCTGATAAAGTATGTTTTCACTATGAAATTCATTCTGAATGACGGGATATTCAGGTATCTTCACTTCCCGAGGACACAACTCTCAGTCTGAATTAGGCCCATTTGGATAGGATTTTTAAAATCTCCATGGGTAACAAACAGAGAAGACTTTTTCCCTCACACTGGCCTGGACTGAACACTTGGTGGGTAAGTAAAATTTTACTTTTTTTCCTATGAAAAGTAGAATAAACCAAACAAGTTGGTCACATATTTCGACCTATACTTGTCAGCAAAGGTTTACAAAGTCCTCTAAAAAGTCAGGATATTTAGTAAAAAGATCATGAAATATTTTCTAGAAAACAAACAAACAAAAAACCAAGAGGGATTTAGTAATGTTAGGATGTAGTTTTCTGCTAATGACTTTATTTTCTTCTTCCTCCTGTTCAGGCAGTAACATGCGAACTCTGACCACATCACTGGTGTGAAATTGCTGATTAACCTTTTGACTCTGACAATTGGGACTTCTCTCAACACCAACTGGTAATGCAAAAGACCATTAGTAGTTAATATTGGGACATCCCAGCTCCAGATGTCAAAAGGTTAATGAAAAATCAAGTATCTTGCTTTTACTGGGGAACTTGGAAACCTTCCCCCCCAAACATTTCATTTTTTGTGATAAATAAGCCAGATTGCTTGAGCTGAGAAAGACGGGTGTTTTGCTAATGTGTACAGCTGTTAATTGAAAAAGATTTTGTTATGCTTGTTCTTCTGGACGTAGATAAAAGAGAGATTTGCTGGCGAACTTAGTTGGTCTTGAACACCCCTTTGTCCAAATACACGACTTAATAATAACGCTTTGTTCTTTCTGTAACAGCCATGGAGGGATTTTGAGTGGAATACTCATTTTCTTTAAGTCATATCTGCCAGTAATCATTCCTGGCTTAAGACCAGCTGCCATTTACGTGTTTTATGAAAATATAACACCAGTTTTACACTCAAAACTATTCTCTTTTTAGGTAAAAGCTTCAGCACAAGCTGGTTCCCCATATCCACCATAAATGCTATTTATCACAAATTTTGGTCTTTAAAACAGAAAGCTAATGTTAAAATATTTTGATTACCCTTTCCTTACCGCTATCATTCACAAACCATCTTTTCTAATTATGGTATTAGGACATTTACATAACCGGGAAAAGGGTCCTTTAACTACATTTCTATTATGTTTGGCACTTCTTTGAAAGGATATTATATTCATGTGCATTAGAGATTGCTTATAAAAGATCAAGACAATAATAGCAGATCAGACGATAAAGGTTCCCTTTTCTCCTCCCAGACAGGCTGTCTCTGACAGAAGAATACAGTTCATCAAAAGTGTCTGCAGGTTGTCAAACTCAGTGAGATTTGGGGACACTCAGAGGCTGTCATGGCCAACAAGAAGATTTTCTGTAGGGTTCTGCCATCATTCACCCTCAGGAAATAATCACTCACTACATTCTGCGTGCTCTCATGATAGAGCTCTATTTGAGAGAAAAGAGCCATTTTATCAAAGGACAATATATCCCTTCTCTTGGTCCATGCAGCTTCCATTATCAGACCATAATAAATCATATTTATGTTCTCAGTTAATAAGACTGATTACAATGCAGGTTACAGGCATGGGAAAAGCAAAGCAGGTGAAAAGATGTTTTAATGAAAATATGATAAGCAAACAGCTTCTTGTGAACATTTCGGGCTGTTATTTGTAATGATCACAGGCAATTTTTGATACATCTTCTTTAGCAATGGTTTAAGCTGCATAAATTGGCTTGCCACTTTATAAGTTGAAATAGAAAGAATCCCAGTGTCCTTCTTATGTTGTCTAGAATCATTATATATATTATAAGCATAAAATGAGTTTAATGTATGTGCTTTGAAAGGAAGGGGAAAACAGAAAATCAGGGAAGACTGATTTTAATGCTGCTCAGAATGATTTTGAAATTTTCTACTCATCTTTGTTACTAACTGTGCATTTTCCATGAAATTTAGGAATGACATGTACTGCTTTCATCTCCTTAAAATTAATATACTGCGCTCTCTGTTTTTCTCAATTTCTTCAAAGTTCTTTTTAGAGCACTATGCAAAGAAAGAGAAAGAAATTCTCCACTCTATGTGTGAACATATCTGCTATTAATGCTGAGGGGAGTTAAGTGTCTGCTTCTACAGAAGAATTCACCCCAGTGTTCTATACTGAAAGGTACTCTGTTAAAACAGTGCAAGCATGTTTAACTCTGGCACATGTGGTGCATTCAACGGCCAACTTCCATAGAATTTTTTTTAAGTGATTAAGGCTTTTTTGTTAGGACCAACGTTCTGACATGATTTCAGCATATAAATGTATGAAGGGAAGTGGCTGGTGGACTGTCTTTCTTACTCTCTTCTTCTGAAAAGTCTTATTTTGTTATTATGTTAAGCATTGTACTTTCAGGATGACATTAGAATTTTAAGGAATAATTTCGTCATGCTGATATGTAATTTTGACCAAGTCTCTGAAATTTTACAGCACTTGCAGAACGGTGGTGACAAAGACTTCTTAGTGTTGGGTGTCTGTGGGACCTATTCTGGTCTGGTATTTCCCTAAAATCACTCTTCAGTAAATTTTAAAGCTTTGTATTTGAATTGGTCCTGGAGACTGATCACGAAATTCCCTTAACACTTGCAGGACACTTCAAAAGAGCAGTGCCCACATAAGAAACAGCAAACTGCTCTTCAGAGGCAATATCCTGATATGACAACAGATGTAGATAATGTACTTCATGATGGAACTGCTTGATACAGAGAGAAACATGTTGTAACTGCCTTCACCATGAAAGGGGTTTAAAAATGCTGCCTGCCAACTCCACAAAAACCAGAGCTGCTATTTCGGTTAAAGGCCAGTGGATTGTATTTTTCACGTCAGTTTTCACTAACCTCAAACATCACTGTTATGACAGACTGTCATCCAACCAAACCAGCACTCCGGTGCCATTCAAGCAAGCAGGAAGAAAGCAAACACAAGGAAACTTAAAAGTCCAATTAGTAAGTGGAGGGTGCACGTGAGTGAACTACTTTTGTGTAACAATACTGATTACTGAAAATGAAACACTTAAAAGAAAATAAACAAAAAGCAGTGCTTTCTGAGCCAGTGGTGTTTTTTGGCTGGCAATTTCTCTTTGTTCTGTTTCATGACACCAGGCTCAATGGTTGAAGGGGTGTTCTGGGCCAGATGTCAATCACAATGTTTGACATAAACAAAAATAGCTAAAAAGGCATGCCAGCATCTTCCTTTTGTTTTCCCATTAGCTCCATTTTTCTTTTCATAGGCTGACAAAAAATTACTGCCTCCAAGTGAATTCAGTAATGTCACTATATATCTAATATCTAGGAGACCTTTTGTTTTAGCTTTACTGGGCTTAACCACAAAAGACACTTGACATTGACAAAGAATCTGTCAAACATACAATGATCAGTGCAATGAAACCTCTCATGACAGAAGGGCACTATTCTGCCTCCCCCTTGCCTCCAGCAGCAGCCTGTCTGAGCAAAATATGCTGGAGCACATGTAGCAGCTGAACCATTACAGAGCAGGCCAGAAGCTGAGATGTGTCTTGTTTAAATTGTCATAGCATATTAGTATAATTAAAACCGCCAAAAGAGTAGAAAAGATAGATGGAAATGTTACATTACTTGTTTCTAGAGATTAACCTCCAGCCAGAACTGAAATAAAGAGACACGTTTTGGATTTCTTAGAGCCCTGATAAGGAAGAAAACAAGCCTGTGAGTACGTCTCTGGAAGTGTGAGACATGAAGTCATAGTTCCTATATTTACCCAAAAAAAGCAGAAATAGTGTTTCAGACAGACACTCTGTTTCCTCTGTGATTACAGCTCCCATTGTGGCTGTGCCCTGCAAAGCAGTTGTATCATCTCTCAGCTAACTCCTTTCCACTTTCCTTTGCCTTTGTGCCCACAGGGTCTTGACAACCCTTGGGCCTGATGATGAGCTGGTGTCACCACTCTCCACCCCTCCCCATGTGTGTGCTTGGCTGGTGCTCCAGGTGCCCAGCCCTGAAGCAGCGCCCCGTGTCCCGGCTGGTGGCTGCAGAGGCCATGCCCATCAGCTGTGGTCAGGAAGTCATCCTGCACAGGTTTCATCCCCTGGGCATACTGGTGCCTGGGGAAGAGAAACAAACACCTACTGGTAGACCAGCCCTAAGACTGCTCTAGAATCGAGCTTCCTCGTGCACAAGAGAACCAGACAGGGAGCGGGGAAGACTTAGATTGCTCCACCGAGGCTGTTTCTGCTTCACATTGCAGAGGAAGATTGGCTTCAGTTTGAAATATGATCTTTCAAATGCCAAGCTCTATGCTTGTTTCTGTGTTGAGTGTATAGATAAAAACATATGGCTTTCTAAAACTGACCCTGAAAATTATGTTCTCTTCATCGATGAGATGTTTTACTTACCATGCATTGTTTACCTCTCATAACTACTCAGGACAAACTTATGACCGAAATTTATAATTATGCTCTGAGTTATATCTGGTGGTGAAAAAGTAGTGTAAAACCTTCCGTGTATCTGTTCAAATGTAGAGGTTGGAACCCAATTTATTCAGAAGCTGGGGAGGACCTGAACTGGCTCTAGCAGTTCTGAAAGACAGAAAAAGCAACACAACTTTCCTCTAACAAAACTGGTACATTCAAGGAGAAGATGCAGGAATCAGGTAGGTCTCATGTTCATTTCTTATGGTATTAATGAACTTCACAGCCTTACCCCATTTGCTGATTTGCTTTAAGTAGAGAGACATTAAATGTGAGCCTTAAATTTTAAGTTTTCCCTTATTTCCTGTATTTCCCAAATTTAAATCTGTTAATGACTTCTCCATATAGGGTTTCTCTTAAATTTCTGTCAGGGCCCGTAAATGTGCATAACTTGTAAAAAATATGTTATCTGCATTTAGTGCTGGCTTTTGGAACCCTCACCACCAAGTCACCTCACCACTGCATCTCACCTCACTTGCATTTCTGTGTAGTGCCAGGAGAAGAAGAGAAAATAGCTATGAAGTAAAAGCAGATTCTGCTCCCATTAAAGGCAATGAAAACTATGCTTTTACTTCTACTTACTCATATAATAGCAGGGAAAAATGAAGTGGAAACAAGCACAACAAAACACCTCTGCCAGCTATCTACAAGCTCACCAAGGCTTCCACTAATGAGGCGCTCTGGCATTTTGAGAAAGACAGGTTCTTCCAGAAATGGAAAAAATATGCCAAGTTCTTCCTTCAGCTCTGAAAGGCTAGTGAAAGAATAACAAATTGTATTTCAAAAACGGGATGGCAGTCAAACTTTTAATGCTGTCTGTGCTATTAAATACCTACAGATGCCCCTGTAGTTTCCTGTCAATTAAATGCTTTTACGTATATGTTTGGCAGATTATTAAATATTGATTCTTATATACCTTACCTAATTATCCACTGTATTTACAGGTTCATCTAAGTTTCATCATGACCATAACATTCTTGAGAAAGTTAATAATTTCGAATCACAAAAACAGAGTAATTTCCAGGTCAATTTTCTAGAAGACAACTCAATACCATGGACAATAACATAGTCTATTAAACAGAACAGTACAGTTTGTGGAAAAGATAATAGTCCAGATCATGAGATAGCACCAGATTTCACATTATGATTTCCAGATGTCTTTAGGAGCTTAATCCATACAGCATTGGTTCAAGACTAATCTGCATGGCAGAAAAGCAAGTTGTTCCAATTTTCTCCTCACTGAGGCTGTGTGGAGAAACTGCAGAGGATAGGCTGGGGTAGTTTGGCCATGCTTTAGTATGAATATTCACCACATTGCCAGCTGCTCCTGGAGTGCACAGTGGTATGATGTGCAGAAAAGAAAAGGTTTGGATGGCACTGTGCCCAGGTCTTTCTGATAGGTGCCATCAGAGCTGGCTCTACGCATTGGCCAAGCGGGCAACTATTTAGGGCAGCAAAGCGATTGTGGCTTCATCTGTGCTTCCAGAATGCTGGAGAAGCAGGAGGGCATTGTGCTGCTAGTTTGGAGAGAAGAGTTTGCCTGAACAACAGAGGAAAGTCCCATCTAGGGATGTCCACATTCTCATCCAGTTGCAGAAAGCTGGCAAATCTGCCCCTGACCATCAGCTTCCCACCTCAGCAGCCCTTTCCCTGCATGCTTGCCTCCACATGGACAGAACAGGCCTCCCTGTCCTGGCCCCAGCCCTAACCATTGGAAGCACCAATGTTCCCTTTTGCTTACAATGCTGTAAAGACCTGAGTTCCAGCAGCCTGTCACCACTGTCAGGCTTCTGTGACAACCTGGTTGTATTCTTCTAAGCAGTGTGTGTTGATTCACTGGAGAGAGAGAGGGTGGACTTTGCCAAACTGAGGCATCATTTACTCAAAGATCCTGGAGTGAGTGTCTTCACAACAGGAAGGCAGCTTCCCTGCTGTTTCCAGGGTGCAGCTTTGGAAGTTCCCCGAATGTCCACTGTAAAACACTGTATTGCATCAGTTCCCTGAACCAGGGACTTGGTCAAGTCCACAGTATAGCAGTGTTGAGTGAGACATGAAATTCTCCCTCCTTGCAGCCTGGGGGAATTATAGCACTTTACAGGGCAGCCCACTATCCTGCTGTGCCCAGAGGCGCCACAGATGTCCAGGCGTTTCTGGTGGGTCTATATATGTCCATAAACATGGAACAGTATTTTCTCTGTTACATTCCTGCTGGAGAGTACTTTACTGGTACAGGTAGATGGGCTGGATCACAATACAAGGATCTGCCAAGACATTGAACCAAGCCTGTCTGAGTTCAAGAAGTGTTCGGACAACACTCTCAGGCACATGGTGTGATTCTTGGGGTGTCCTCTGTAGAAAGAAGTTGGACACGACGATCCTCATGGGTCCATTCCAACTCAGCATATTCTATGATTTTATGATTTGCTTTTCAATTTCAGCACTGTCAGGCTGGGAAGTGAAAAAGAGCTCTGCAAACAGAACAAGCATCTGATGTTACACTGCAATGCAAAAAAAAAAAAAAAAGGCTCAAGGCTACTTTTTCTCCATGGAAATCTGTGCAAAAATTGTCAGTTTGGGACTTCATAAGTTTCTCTCTGGAGTCAAAAATTCAGCACAAGTGCACAAAAGAGTGTGAAGAAAGAGCATTTTGGCTCCTTCAACGCTGTGCACAAAACCTCTCAGGGTTTCAGCAAGGATTTTAGCATCTCTTGCAGTCTTCAAATGTTTTGCTGTGCAAGGATGTGCTTATACATAATTTTGTAATTGAAATGGCATGTTTACTGTTCTATTTCATGCTTGATTGTGTTTTTTAAACACCTTTACTCATGCTGTTAGAAGTGGGATTATAATTAAAATGTCCTGTTGAACACCTTGTTCAGTTCAATGAAGGCATAATAGAAGTATAAATACTTGTTCTCATTGACTCTGTGATGTCAGCAAAACAAACACAGTAGATCACAGATGATCACAGAATATTCTGAGTTGGAAGGGACCCACAAGGATCTTTGAGTCCTGCTCTTTGAATGGCTCATACAGGGATCAAACCCACAACCTTGGTGTCATTAGCACCATGCTCTAACCAACTGAGCTAATCTCAAGGTCAAATGTCATAAAACAAATCTCTTTTTTGCCAAAGCATCCATGGGATTCGTGAGAAGAGGAAACAGAATCTGTGACTGGGACCTCTCCTTTGGTAAAAGGAAATATTTTGAGATGTTATCTGGGATATAAATGTGTTAACTAAGGCATGGACTGATTGATTGATTGATTGATTGATTGATTTAGCCAATTATGAGAAAAAAATCAGAGTGGAATTTGTTCCTTTACTCACAGTCTCTTGGTCTAGAGACTAGGCAGTACTTTCTCCTACACTAGCCATTAAGGAATGCTGAGTCTGCTTGTGAAGTGTTAAGGAGTAACTTATATTTCTTATTATTCCCATTTTCTTAAAATCTGTACAGATACCCAGACTTCATTTCTTTATGGTGGAGTAGAACGAAGTCCAAATATTTCTAAGTCACTGTCCAGTGGTTTCAGAACTTTTGCAGAGCAATAGTAATTTCATTTTCTTCATGTTTTCTCTTGTAGTCTAAGTTACCACTGATGATGAAATGTCAAACCATTCTGGCAGGTACTTGTTCAGTCTTAAGGAGCTTTAAATTACTTCACAGCTTGAGATTCCAGGTAAGTAGGGATGTTCCAAGATTTAGCCTAATTGATGCTTCTTGGGCAATTTACTCAGATATCTTGGCTCAGTTTCCTCCTCTGAAAACTGGGGAGAAGAATGTCTGTGTTCCTTGTGCTCTTTGATGTAATAGTATTTTTAATATACTAAATACTAGGCTCTACACTGCACAAAACCCATGAGGTTTTAGGTTTGTGTCCTTTCACTGGCTGGAAGAGGGCTCTCAAAACCAATCCCAGGATGTGTAATACTTCTGTGCCAGAGCAAGATTTGCCAGTCAATAGCTGCCTTACAGGGAAAGCCCACATGATCTTTATGAAGCAGGCAAATAAGCAGACCCAAAGGGTGTGGAAATTGCCTTCTGTGCCCAGTTTCAGTTCCAACTACTTCAAGCTCAGCAGAAATTGGGCAGGCAAATGGTTCACAAGATTTGGTCTTTTGAATGAAAGCAGTGAGGAAGTGGCAAAGTAGGAGGGTTTTTTCCCTGGGATAAGAGAGGCAGATGGGTACATAGGGCAGTCCAGCCCAGACCAGAGAAAGATTCATCAGAAGCAAGAATAAGGCTACAGAACATGCAGGACAAACTGGACAAGAACGTTGTCAAGTGGGATTGCAACAAAACTTAGTGTATTTCTTTGAATGTCTCATTATATGTACAGGTGCAGCTCTACACACCCACACACGCTGCATTTATTTCAGTGTGATCATATAAATACCTGCAGGTGCGACACTGAAGAGATACCCATGCTGAGGCATGAATATGGAGTTCCACATCTGTATTTACTGCCTGGTTCACACAATGAACTAGTGCAGTCAGTGGGTTCTCTTTCCAGCTCCCACATGCACTTTAGAACTAAAACTGAAGAAAATTCCTTCCTGGTAACTACATTTAACAGGAAGTCATGGCATAGAACTAAAATATGTGATGGGGAAGGTGTATGGAACAGTCATCATTACTTCCCTTTGTTGCACAAGTATATAAAAAATTAGGAAGAAACTAATTTCAGATAAAAATGGCCACATCAGTTTAATGTGTGGTAATAAATCCACAAAGTTGGAATCTAATGTGTCTTTTGAGGCACCTAAAACTTCAGTTGGCCTTTAGTACAGTGACTGGTTTCTCTCTTCTGGCACACAGAGAGATAGTTCCCTGTCTATAATACTGTCAGATAGTCCATAACACATGGGGTACAAATCGTGGCTGCTGCAGAAACCATGGTTCTGCATTCACCAACTTGCTTACACATAAAAAAGTCTCAGTCATGGCATTGCACTCATGCAGCTGGTTTCATTAAACAATAATCTGATGCTAACTACTTGACTACAAATGCCCTCCTCCCAGTGTCAAAAATGTAAAACAGCTAAAGGATATAAACTGGGGGCAACATTTTGCATGTAATTGCTGCCTGCAGAGAATCAAGATTGTCAAAGTTTCTTACTTTTTATGAGGCCTTTATTGATAAATTTCGTTTCCCAAAGAGAAAAATAAACCTACCAAAGTTCCTTTGAACATTTCAGCAGACTTTTGTGGCGTTAGCTGTGAAAGTAATGGTGTGACATTCCTAGTAAGGATGTATAGGAACTGTGTTCTAGGAGTCCATCCTGCTTACTTCGTGGAAACTATCTCAGATGCTTTGGGATTATTTAGCGGTAACTTCTTTTTACACCATGATTTCACAGGGATTTTCTCTGTTATCTTCTCTTCGGCATATGCCTTTGAAGACCTAGGGAGAAAATGTGGCACTTCAGCATTCAGCGAAACCTGGTTTGCATCTCCATCTAGCTAAAGGCAGAGAATCAGTTCTCCTGCGATATAAAATGTAGAGGAACCATAGCGCCCAAAACTCAGCAAAAATTTTAGGTAGTGTTGTCCAGGCAAAGGAATAATGAGAATATGGTCAATGAAGATTTCATAGGAAGCAAAGGAGAAAAAAAAGGACAAATTTTTGTTTCTGATCTGAATGTCACTGCTTTGCCCAGAGGGACCACGGCTGCCATCCATGGCTCACAATAGCGAATGTACTCTGGGCAGTGACACAGAGAAAGGGACCAGAAGCGGTTGGAACCGTGGAAGAAATAACACTGTGCTAACGAAGAGTTTCACCCAGGCAAATTTACCTCCTTTGGAATTAGTCTGGGTATCTCTCCATGACACATTTGTTTTAGAATCACAGCATGTTGCAATTATTAGGCTCTGGCAGGCTCCTAGTTAGGAACTGTGTCCAAGAGCCTTTATTTCATCCGGTCCAATTGGGAAGAGCGTGGCACTTTCTTTTCGTTGAGACTTTGCTATAACGATCTGAGCTTTAGTCACTGTGAGACTGGCCCTCTGCAAAGCATTCAGTTGGTGTTACAACCAGAGACAACTGAGCTCCAAAAGTGAGTGCAGACCGTGTCTACTTATTAAGTAAAGGGGCATGTGGAGAGCCCATTACTCAGTAATTGGTGCTAGCTGCCAGTTAGCATTCAGCAGGACTTCCAGCATTTGTATAGACTTTACAGCCCAGAATGGCCTGGGATTGTTCTTGCCTTATTTGCTGCCGCTATAATCAGCTGATGGCTCTCTGCTTTGCAGAGCTACCAAAACCAGCTTGGTCGGACTGAAAGGCACCTGGAAGTACGGGATGTCCCCAAGGAATTCAGCCAGAGGGATATGCAAGTCTGAGAGATTTTGTGGCTAAGGCTGTATTCCAGTTTTATGGACTTGCAGGTTTCTTCCCCTGCCATGGAAGAGGAAAATGATGAGTGAAACTTGTGGTAGATGATACAAATGCCTGCCTGATTGTGTAACACCTTAAATAGGTCTTTAAAGATGAGACCCTCAAGTGTTGCGTGACTCTTTAGAGGAGACAAACAGAACTTCTGTATGGAGTCTGGAGAGACAGTGTGGGAATTCTTTACAGAAAAGACTGCGTAGACATTTAGACAAAAATGTGGGGTACATGCCACTTGCAGCTTTGACCTGGGGAAACTTTATTCTTCAGATCCCAAGTGCTGCTGTTACTCCCAAGGAGGCAGCTTGGTGGGGTTTTGGACAGGAGCACACAGACCCCCAGGCAGCCCCTCCACTGCCCAGGAGCAGGGTGGGCTCCACGTGTGCAGGTGGCAGAAAGAGGCTCTTCTCACATGGCTGTTCCCTGCAACATTATATGTATATATTTTATTTACAGCATAGGCAGCATTATCCCTAGAGGCAGACTAGGCGGTCGAACGCATGCAGTTAAGCTGCTCTCGCCAAGCAAGCGGGCTCTGCCAACACCTGCGAAGTTAAAACCTGTCTGCGCTGCAGGTGAGAAAGCAAATAACGCAGGGTGCGGCCGCGGGAGTGACGCCCGCCAGTGGGGCTGGCGCAGCCACGTCCGCTGCCCCCGTGGCGGCGGCCCAAGGCCCCGGGGCCCGGGCAGAGCCCCCCGAGCCCCGCGGGCCCTCACGGCCCATGGCGGCTCCCGCCCGGCCCCGCCGGCAGCGGCCCCGCGCCAGGCGCCGTTCGCCGCAGCGCCCGCCAGGTGGCGCCCTTGATCGCCGAGTGGCGGGAGGGCGGGCGGGCCCGAGAAACGCATCCTGCCAGCCCCCCGCCCCCCTCCCTTTAATTTCGGAAGCATTATAACTAAAGTGTTTTCAGCTTATTATTATGCATGAGTAAAAATTCCATGAATGTGTAACATTTTTCGCCTGTATTTCCCTCTTTTATAACATCATTTAAATTCCTCATCAATAATTTAGCAGCGTTCTGGATTTTAATCACTTTTCTCATCCCGGCGGTCTCTATCCGAGGCAGTGCTCTCCTCCTCACCTGAAGGTGACAGGGAGGCAGGGCCGGGCTAGGGACACCCGCCCCAGCGCCCTGCCCTGCTGCAGAGTATTTCCTTTATCAATTACAAATCCAAAGCTTACCAAACCTGAGCTTGAGTAGGTCACCATTGGTAAAAATTAAATTTTTCTTTGTTTGTGGTTTTTTGGTTTTGGTTTTTTTGCATCTGAGTTTAATTATGGGGGTATTTGTTTGATAGCTTGTTACTGTAAATAAAAGAGATAAAAGCAGCCCTTCACTCGAGCAGCTCCAGAGCTGTGAAATATGTACCTAATTAAAACTATTGGTGTAAGAGGCTAATAAAGTACATGTGCCTACTAGATGTTTTATTCTAATGAATCTCGGCTAACTTGCTCTGAGTGATGTATTTCAGTGTTGGTAGTAAGGGCTGAATAATTATGGAATTTATCATGAGGTGCTCATGAAGGACCACGAGGGTCTGGGAGGGAGAGGGGAGTGAAGGGCCCCCAGCCATGGCTGAATGTGGGCTCTGCCCCGGCGGGTGCAGGAGGAGCAGAGCCCAGGTTCCCCCAGGCACGGGGCTGCCGGGGCGCAGCGTGCGACCTCCACGGCAGGCAGGGACCCCTGGGCCAGGCCCATGGGCTGCAGACGTACGGGCCTGGGGCAGCCTGGAGGGTCTGCATGAGGTGTGTCTGTGCGGAGGTGAGAGTGCTCCCATTGCCCCGACAGAGAGCCTGGGGCCAGGGTGCTCCTTCCCACTCAGGTCCTCACCCCCTGATTTCCCCATTGTTTTTGCCTGGCACGGGTGAGGAGCGGGCCACAGCATGCGCTCCTCAGACTCCCAAACCCAGTGCAGATGGGTTGTCTAAAGCATTTCAAATGGAGTTTTGGTCTTGCGCCAGCAGCTAATCAAAGTCTTAATCCTGGAGAATAAAAAAGCCAGGCTTTCCAAGCTTCCTCCAGCTGGTTTCTGCCAGGGATGTGGATGGCCGGCACTCCTGAAAACCCTTGTGCAATGGGTGCTCCCAGCACCATTTGCATGCGGGTTGGGCAGTGGGGCTGGGGTATGGGTTGGTTACCTGGCCCAGCTGTAGGGGCCAGCTTTATATGGCCTGTGGGCAAACACCCTCAAATCCATCTGGGTCGGACCTGTAGTGAAGAGAAGTCAGGCAGGTGAAAAAGTGTGCATCGAGAACCCCTGCCTGAGACATGAGCTTTGCCCTTTGG